CTCCTCCTCCTCCTCCTCCTCCTCCTCCTCCTCCTCCTCCCCCCCCTCCTCGAGGCCAAGAGACCACCTGGAGGCGCGTCCTCGCTGGCACCGGCGTGGCGCTCTCCTGCAGGCCCCGGACGTCTCCCCCCCGCCCTCTTGGAGGAGGAGAGAGGAGGAGGAGAGAGGAGGAGAAAGGAGGAGGAGGAGGAGCAGGAGGAGGAGGAGGAGGACGGAGGAGGAGGACGGAGGAGGAGGAAGGAGGAGAAGGGAGGAGAAGGGAGGAAAAGCGAGGAGGAGGAGGAGGAGGAGGAGGGTCGAGGGACCCCTGCCCGTCCTCGTCCCCCTGAGGCGGGCGGGGCCCTCGCCGCCCGAGCTCCCTAGAGTTCCTCCCTCTTGCCCTGCTCGCCCCAGTCGGCCCGCCCGCCGCATTCGTCGTGGCCGTTGGAGGTGGGGACGCGCATCGAGACACCATCCTCGAGGAGGAAGAAGAAGCAAGCCCATGAACAGAAACTTTTGGCGCTCCGCGCGGAGTTCTTGGATCCGCGTGGGCGCCCCCCCCACGGCGGCGCCTGCGGCGCCGCCTCTGGCGCGCTCCACGCGCCACGGAGGGGGTATCCGGCGCGGATCCGACAAATCCGCGCGGAGCGCCAAAAGTTTATGTTTCTGGCGCCTGTTCTTCTTCTACATCTGCTTCTCGTTTGTGTGCCCTGGATTTCTTCGCTTCGCGCGCTGCGCGGTGACTGCCCCTTCGGCCCTCAGAGGAGCTGCTGCGTCCAGGGTGCTCCGTGTTTTCCCTCAGGTGCACCTCGCGCGCGGGTTTTCAGGGCAGGGTTTCTTGCGACCGCGCCCGCACTGTAGGTCAGAGGTGGGAAAGAAACCGATGCCGCTACCCTTACCTCTTTTTCGCCTCTTTGGGCCTCCCGGGAGGCCCTCGTCACCACCGAAAGATACGCCTCGAGATTCTGGTCATAACGCACCCTGGGAGAGGTGCGGTATTAGCTTTTTTGGGTTTCCCAAGTAGAGGGGGGCGGGCGGGCAAGGCTTTCTACATAGGAGGGAGCTGCTTCTTAGAGGGCGCGGGCCTCATCTGTAGATGTAGGGCTGGCGCCTCCTAAGAGGCAGCCTCCTTCTAAGAAATACCCTCTCCCCCTACCCCTTGGAGAGTACTTCTTTACCCTCTGGGCCATAAGGCGCGTTATGTTTCGATTGTTGTTGGATTGTTGTAGAATATGTTTTTGCTGTGTTTTATTGGTCCTCCCAAATCCGCCTGTAGGAGGACGTGCCCGACCTGAAGTCAGCCGCTTTTGTCATGGAGGGGGGGGGGCGAAGGGGGCGGAAGTCGGCCACGCGCAGAGGGGGGTGGGGGAAGGGGGAGGGCTTCTTGGAAGCACCCCTGCTTCTTGGAAGGCGCGGGCCTTCTCTATCTATAGGTGTAAAGCCGGCGCCCTCTAAGAAGCAGCCTCCTTCCAGGCAGCCTTCCCCCCTCCCCCACAGCCCCCTTGCGCGCGCCGCCAAGGAAGCCCTCTGCGGGTCGGGCGCCGGACCCACGCCGGCCCGTCCCCGAGGAGGGATGGCTCGCGCACCTCGCGGGAGGGCCAGGCTCGTGGCGGCCAGCTTCGTCGGGGAGGCCGCTTCTCGGATGCCGCGCACCGTCGACCCGCCTGGTGTTAGGTCGGGCGTGTCCCTCTACAGGAGGAGACTTCCAACATGGTAGAGCAAGAATAGGCAGGGGGACGATGTGTCGATTCTGTTTTTCACAACTTTGAGTATTTTTGAATCCGCCAGTAGGAGGGCATGCCTGACCGAAGCCTAGTGAGGATGAGCAGATTTCCAAAGTTGCCCCTGCATTCGGCCTATCATTGGCCGCTTTCGCTGGCCGCGCCCCGCTGGCAAAGTGTCGGCATGGCCCTCCAAGGCCCTTGCATCCTTACAGTCAACCCGTACAGTAAGGATGCGCGACGCCCTTTTCAAAGCTTTTCGAGCGGGGCGCGGCCAGCGCAAGTGGCCAAGGATGGACCGAGGAGGCCCGGATGCCTAGGGTACCTCTGGGGAAGGTTGCCCGTCCTTACTGTGCGGGTTGACTGTACCGCGCACTCTTAATTCTACGGGTTGGCTGTAAGTGTCAGGGCCTGGAGGATCGCAGGGCCTGCAGGTGTGGGGCCGCTTTCGAGCCGTCTTCGGTGCCCCTTTACCAGGCCCCGGAGGCGTCAACGAAAACTGCTTTTGCACGTCTCCCGCCGATGCTCCTCGGAGTTCCTCGGGACGTGTGCTGGCCCAGGACTGTGTGTGTGTCTGCCCCGCTCGGCCCGTGTCGGCCCTCGTGGCACCACCTGCGTCGTACGGAAAGGTTTCGGTGGACCAGCACACGTTGGCGCGAACGCACCCAGGAGGAAAAAGCACAAATACAGGCACACAGAGTCGTCGATTTCCGGGAACATCTGGGAAAATACGGAAGTGGTGGGGAAACCGAAATATGTCAGAATTTTGGGGATCCTGGGATTTGAATCAATTTCTTTGTTTGTCCCCGGGCCCCTCGACACGTTCTCTGAGGATCATCGATCCAGGACCCGCGCCCTCCTGAGCCCATCTCTCTCGTGCCGCGTGCCGACAAACGAGTCGACGGGCCTCGTTCATATTGTGAAGGCCTTGCGGCCGCTGCCGCCGACCCTGAACGCGGGACCTCCCGCAGGACCCTTGGGTCCCCTCTCCGGACCCAGGGCTCGTTTCGATTTCTCCGATTCGATTCGATCCGACTTCGATGGCTTCCGATTCCGACTCGGTTCCACTTGGGATTCCGATTTGGGTTCCGATTTCTTGTTGAAGGCATACTGGCCTGCCGATTTCCGCCCACTCGACTCCTCCCGACATTAGCTGCCAACTTCCGCCGATCCGACGCATTTCGATCGCCGATCCGACTTCTCGATTCGACCTGGCTCTCCTGCGCTCCTCCTCCTCCTCTCTCCTCCTCCTCCTCCTCTCTCCTCCTCCTCCTCCTCCGCCTCCTCCTCCTCCGCCTCCTCCTCCTCCTCCTCCTCCCCCTCCTCCTCCTCCTCCTCCCAGAGGCCGGGGCCAGGGCCCCGGCCACGGCCGGCTCGTGGCCGGGGCCGGGTCTTCGTTGGTCTTCGAAGTTTTTCGAACAGCTTGTGGGGGTGTTTGGGGCTCCTGTGCGGCAGTCGACGGGGACTTATGGGGACTCCACAGCTCAGAGGAGGAAGAGGTACCCGCACCTCTACCGTCCCCTCGTTCTCCCCTTTTTGGGCCTCCTTGGCCTCCGTCGTCGCCACCGCTGGCTTCGCCCCGAAATCCTAGTCAGAACGCACCCCGGGAGAGGTCTGGGGGGTAGCGGTATCGAGGCCTTTTGGTTTCCCCAGCAGTGGCGCTGGTGATGCTCCGACGCCGGCGCCGAGGAGCAGGAGCGTTGCGGCTCTTCTGCTCCTCATAGGGGGCGCACGGAGGCCCTCTTCTGGCCCCAGGAGCTGCAGCGAGAAGAGAGCCGCGGCGAAGCCAGGTGCCGCCCTGAGGCTGGACCCTTGCTGTGTGACCACCGAGGCGGGAATTTATACACGACCACCGCCTGGAGGATCAACTTTCGGGTGCCTCAGCAGGCGGTGGATATGGACATTTTCGGGCCCCCCCGGGGCCAAAGTATATCCATATCCACCGCCCGCTGGGGCACCGGGACGTCGGTTCCCAGGCGGTGGTCATGGATAAATCCCCGCCTCGCCCGACCTCCTTTCCTCTCTGCCTCGCCTCGCGTCTCCTCCTTCTCGTCCTCGTCCGTTCCCGTGCGGCCCAGACTCTCGAGCCCGCGCGGCCTGCGCGTCGAGCAGGAGTCCTTCTATTCCTCCAGTCACTCCAGTCAGGCATTGGCGAAGCGTCTTGGCTTGCATAGAGGCCCACCAAAGACTGTTCTAAGAACCTTGTGTGGTTTGCACGAGATGCTCTTAGAACATATCTGGCTGAGACTGTCAGGTTTAAGCACATCTGGCTAATGTTATCAGAGAACTCCTTTCTCTACGAACATTTTTTGGGGGGAGATATGTCGTGGTAAGCCTATAGCAATGCTGGGACGGTCGGTCCCTGCTCGACCCAGAAGGCTCTCAGTGGCAAAGGCAAAGAGACGCCGAACAAGTCAGCGGGAAGCCGCGGAAAAACACCCGAGGCCGCCGACGGCCTCGCGAGGATCGCCGCCCACGGGGCGTGCGATGCTCGCCGTCGCCGTGGTTGTCTCCGGGCCCCCCCCCTCGGCTGCCCCCTCCTCCTCCTGCTCCTCCTCCTCCTCTTCCTCCTCCTCCTCCTCTTCCTCCTCCTCCTCCTCCTCTCCTCCTCCTCTCCTCCTCCTCCTCCTGCCTCCTCCTCCTCCTCTCCTCCTCCTCCTCCCTCCCCCCTCCCCCCCCCCTCGCGCCTCCCCCTCCTCGTCTCCTCCTCCTCGTCTCCTCCTCCTCCTCCTCCTCCTCCTCCTCCTCCATGATTATTCCTTATAACTTCTCCCTGTCGCACCCCGAGGCCAGTTTTTATGGCGGGCTGGGCGCTTCGCCTGAGACGCCCTCACCATTTATGACTCTGAAGCTTTAAAAGTGGCAGCTGTTTCACACATGGAGGGCGGGTGGTTTTCAAAATGTAGCTCTCGCCTTAGCGCCGCGCACATTCGTTTTAACAATTTGCAAGAGCTTCACGGATTGAAGGCGGGCCGTTTCCAAAAGTGGCTCTCGCCGTAGCGCCGCGCGCATTCGCTTTCCACATTTGTAAGAGCTTCACGCATGGAGGGCGGGTGGTTTTCAAAATGTGGCTCTCACCTTAGCGCCGCGCACATTCGTTTTTTTATGTGCAAGAGTTTCACGGATTGATGGCGTGTGGTTTTCGAAATGTGGTTCTCGCCTCAGCGCCGCGCACATTCGTTAAACATTTGGGAGAGTTTCACGGGTTCCCATGATCAACGTACCAGAAATGATGTTTTGGAAGGACTCAGGATTATGCAGGTGCAACAGTTATGTTGATTCGCGGTGTTGGAGTCCCAAAATGGCGTTCTGGCACGATTCCGGATCGTCCAGACGCAGCAGTCAGGTTGATCCGTGACGTTGGAAATCCCGAGAACATGTTTTGGCATGCTTCGGGGTTTTCAAACGGTTGTCTTCTAACGAGGCAGTTCTCTCAATGGAAATGAACCGTCGTAGGGGCTTGTGAAGAGGGAGCTTGGAGGGAGCGTTCATTCCAACGCCGTTGATGACTCTTGGGTTTACACTGGTCCTCCTCTTCCTCCTCGTCCTCCTCCTCGTCCTCCTCCTCGTCCTCGTCCTCGTCCTCGTCTCCTCCTCCTCCTCCTCCTCGTCTCCTCCTCCCTTTTCTCCTCATCCTCCTCCTCCTCGTCCTCCTCCTCCCTCTCCTCCTCCTCCTCCTCCTCCTCCTCCTCCCCCTCCCCCTCCCTCTTGCGCGCCCCCCCCACCCCCCGCGCTGCCGCCAGGAAGGGGCGGAAGCCGGGCACGCCGAACCAGGCCTCGCCGCGGCGGGGGGGGCCGACGAGGCGTAAGAGCAATCTCGGGCGAGAGGCCCAATGCGGAAAAGGCAGGGTGTCGTGGACATGCTGTGGCTCTGTGGGTGGGGGGGGGCACCACAAGCTTCCAGCAAGTGTCCAGTGAGAGTCTGGTTCTGAAAGTGAGTGGCCCTGCATCCGCGCACATTTAAGACAACATCTGATATGGGTTTGAGCCTCTCTGCAAGCGTGGACCCCAAACAGTGGACCATTGCACTCTCGATGTGCAACATGTGTTGTGTAATATGTGGATTGTGCAACCGACACGTTGCAATACATAGTGTGCCGGATATGCGGTATTATTCGCGGTGCGCTATTTAGTATGGTAGCCCTGCGGTGCAATCGATGTGGTTATTGAAATATCTTGGGATGCCTCTCGGGGGCTTCTTGGCCGCCTCTTGGAGACCTCTTGTTTACCCCTCGGCAGTCTCGGGGGGCCATCCTGGCACTATTGGGCTCCCAGGACCAGCTCTTGCTCCCCCCTTCGGGAACGAATGCATTGAAACAACAGCATGCATTGGTGATCGTTTTCTTATTCCTTGTTTTGCAGATCGACGCGGGCCCTCGCATAGCCCCCCCTCCCCCCCAAATGGAGTAGATCTTGGCTGTTTGGGGGCGCCTGTTTCGAGCAGGTGGAGTCTCCCCCCAAAGGACGCACAGCTGCAAACAGTCGCATGAAGCAGAGGTCCAGATCCAGAACCTCCCCCCTTCCGCCCAATGTCGAAACGCCGAATAAGAAAACGCTCAGTTGGCATGCGTTGCAATGATTCTTGACCGTCGGAAGAGTCGCGCCACGATCCCTGGAGGAGCGCCCGTGCTTCCGGGGCCTGGGCCCCTCAGAGAAGAGCGCTTGCACCTCAAAGTGGACCGAGGACACGCTATACTCAGCGCGTTGTGGACAGCATCGGGGAGGGAGGGGAAGGATAGAAGGAGGAGAAAGAGGAGGAGGCAGAGGCAGAGGGATGGGGGAAGAGGAGGAGGAGGAGGAGGAGGAGGACGAGGAAGAGGAAGAGGAGGAGGAGGAGAAGGAGAAGAAGAAGAAGGAGAAGAAGATGAAAAAGAAGGAGGAGGAGGACGACGATGCTAGACTATGCTGGGAGAGGACGCCAGAGCTCCATGAGCGCAATGAAATTGGGCCCGAACTCCGGGCGGCCAGCGGCGTGAGCCAACGGCAGAGATGAAGGGGAGGGAGGGGACGGGTAGGACGGAGATGGAGGACGCGGCGCGGAGAATGCGGGGTGGGAGGGTGAGGGGGTGCGTCACAACCACCATGCGTGGTGTTTACTGAACGGCTCGGGTCGTTCACTGAGCACCCCTGCCCTGTCCGATCCCTTCCCAGTGTGCGTCTACTAATCGCCTCCGCTTTTCCGGGTCCTTCTGATGAGGGTGTTGTGTCTGCTCTCTGCAACCTCCTTTGACCTTAAACGCAAGTTTTCTCTTGCCCCCTCGCCCCCAAATTTCAATGTTGATGGACGCGCGCAGTGCGGCCCGCGGGGTCAACAGAAAATGCAGTCGGCAGCGTCGGCGTCAACATTGGAACTGGGGGCCTGGGTGCGGATGCATCCTAACATCCCCCCACTTCCTGATCTTTTTCCCCGCAGTCCTGCGTTCTTCTGCAGCTCGGGAGGAGGAGGAGGAGGAAGAGGAGGCGCAGCAAGAGGAACAGGAGCAGGAGCAGGAGGATGAGGAGCCGCCGAGGACAACGTGTTTGCCTGCCAGCGCGGCGACCTCACCATCGCCGGGGTGGCAGATGGCCACGGCTCGGACTGGTGTGCGGGGGGGCAGCACTGACTTGGCCTAGTCTGCATGATGGCGGCGAGAGTGGTGGTAATAGTAGCAATGGTGTTGACGATAATGATGACAGCGACGATGATGGCGATGAGTATCATGGTGATAGTGGCGATGGTGGCGACGGTGATGATGACGTGAGGAGGAGGAGGAGGAGGAGGAGGAGGAGGAGGAGGAGGAGGAGGAGGAGGAGGAGGAACAGGAGGCGGAGGAGCAGGAGGAGGAGAGGAGGAGGAGGAGGAGGAGGAGGAGGAGAGGAGGAGGAGGAGGAGGACTCGCGTCCTCACCGCATCTCCTTGTCAGCCCGGGCGCACCGTGTACCACTTCGGAGTTTGGAGGAGGAGGAGGAGGACGACGACGACGACGACGATCAGGAGGATCAGGAGGAGGAGGAGAATGAGGACGAGTGATAGGAAGACGAGGAGGAGAATGAGGAGGAGGAGGATCAGGAGGATCAGGAGGATCAGGAGGATCAGGAGGATTAGGAGGATCAGGAGGATCAGGAGGATCAGTAGAATCAGGAGGATCAGCAGGAGGAGGAGGAGGAGGAGGAGGAGGAGGATTTGCGTCCTCACCGCGTCTCCTTGTCACCCTGAGCGCACCGCGTAACCCTACGCGGAGGGAGGACGGGCACTGGGTCTCCCACTGGGCCGTGCGCTACGCGGCACACTTGGCGCTGTCGGAGGCTCGCCGCGCAGTTCTCCCACGCGCAGATGGGGGGTGGGCGAGGAGGCGGAGGAGGAGGAGGAGGAGGAGGAGGAGGAGGACGAGGAGGAGAATGAGGAGGAGATCGAGGAGGAGAATGCGGAGGAGGCTGAGGAGGAGGAGGAGGAGAGGGAAATGAGGAGGAGGAAAGAGGAGGAGGAGGAGGAGGAGGGAGGAGGAGAAGGAAAAGGCGACGCGAAGCGCGAGGCGCGAGGCGCGAGGCGCGAGGCGTGAGGCGCGAGGCGAGGAGGAGGAGCGGAGGAGGAGGAGGAGGAGGAGGAGGAGAAGGAGGAGGGAGGAGGAGGAGGAGGAGGAGGAGGAGGAGGAGGAGGGAGGAGGGGAGGAGGAGGAGGAGGAGGAGGAGGAGGAGGAGGGAGGAGGAGGAGGAGGAGGAGGAGGAGGAGGAGGAGGAGGAGGAGGAGAGGAGGAGGAGGAGGAGGAGAGGAGGAGGAGGAGGAGGAGGAGGAGGAGGAGGAGGGAGGAGGAGGAGGAGGAGGAGGAGAGAGGGAGGAGGAGGGAGAGGGCGTGGGCGGGGGCGAGGGCGAGGGGGGAGGGGGAGGCGGACCGAGGGGAGCCGATGGGGGAGCGAGGGAGAGGAACGGATCTGGGGCGTAGCGCCCGCGTTCGCGCCCCCGAGACGACCAAAGGGGTGGGCGTCGTCAGTCGATTCAATATGTTTGTGGCTTGAGGAGGAGGAAGAGGAGGAGGAGGAGGAGGAGGAGGAGGAGGAGGAGGAAGACCTGGAGGACCTGGAGGAGGGGGATGAAAAGGGGAGTACCCTGACGGGCTGGACGGCTCTTCGCCAATCGGCTTGCGGCGATCAAACCAGGTGGATCGAAATAATTTCAGGCATGTCGAGGTACGTCTGTTTAACTTCGGACTTCGGATACATCCAGGCATCTCCATGTTGAGCCAGTGACATTTCGGGCAAATCATGGCCGCTGCAGCGCGAGTCGAGGGACGCCAGAAGTCGTTAAGTCCTAACGAGACTGAGTAGGAGGAACTCGTCAATGGCAGGGTCACAAGCGAAAGATGGGCCACGCAGCATCGCATTTGTGCACATGTATATTGCGCATCGCTTCGAGGTTGGTGTCTCAACTCGGTCGCTCTTCAGTTCGCAATGCGGCACTTTGGCGTCATTCCGCATGGTTCCGAGGAGGTCGTCATTCAGGGATGAAGTAGAGGAGGGGTAAACTGAGGGGGAGGAGGAATTGGAGGATGATGATGATGAGGAGGAGGAGTTTAAGGTAGAGGTTTGTGCTGATTTCCCGCTCCGCGTTCTTGCTGAGTTTTGTATGCAACGTACTGCGCGTATGTGCATTTGAATTATTTCGCGTTGCCGCACAACCTTGTGTGTACTGGCGTGGAGCGCCACCAACGAAACGAGAGCATATAACGTCTCTTCTGTGCAGGCGAACAGACATGTAGCATACCACGTTTACATCACGTCTCACTGTGTAGGTGAGCGCAACCGCTTAGGCAGGGCTGTTGGGGGCTTGCCACCACGAGTTGCGAACACGTCAGCCTTGCGTAGCGAACGTGGATCAGTAGTTTTGTGTCGCAAAGTGTGCCCATCTTGATACAATGCACAACGACTCACACCGAGGCTGACACTGGCTGGCTATAGCCGGATTCCCGTGTACGTTTTACAACGCGGGGGATCGCACACCAAAAAAGTAGTTAGGCGAAGGACCCAGCCATGTGCAGGTTTGAGTACCGCAGCTGTGGGTGTCGTCGTCGGCGGAGTTCCCCATGGGCCACGGAACGCTATGCTGGGTGCGGGAGACGCATGCAAATCTTGCCACTGGGGCCTTCGGTGGAGCTCCCTATGGGCCACGAACCGCTATACTGGGTAGGGGGGACGCATGCGCATTTTGCCACTGGGGCCTTCGGTGGAGCCCCCTATGGGCAACGAAACGCTGTGCTGGGCGGGGGAGACGCGTGCGAGTGCCGCCACTGGGGCCTTCGGTAGAGCTCCCTATGGTGCCACGAAGC